ATATATATACACTATCTATATATCTATACATATCTTATTAAATTATAAATGTCTCTGCTGTTGCTTTTGATCAGTTTAATGCATCTTTACTGCATTAATGTATTGATTTCTTTAAAATAAATCTTACTGACCTCAAACCTTTTAACAATAGCATATGTTTATTAATGCATATTATCAAGCTTTTGTGTTTGATGTTGTACACAGACGTGTGGTAGTTATACTGGACATGGACGTGATCAAGTCTGCTGACCAGATGGCAGGAAAAATTGGAGACCCAACTCCTTATGTGGAGGGTGAGAGTACATTTGAAATGTCAAATTTTATGGAAACTTACATTAGTTATGCTCATATTAAAACATTTTACATTTTGTTGTTAGCATTGAGGTTGTACTATGTCAGTCACCTTGTCTGGAGGTATTTAAGATTGTCAAATTTATCCTGCAGTGTCTAATTTTTGTGCAACAGGCCAGTCAAAGCCACAACAGAATGCAGCTCCGGCTCCAACTGTACGTCCATTACAGCCTCCGAATGGAAGTGATGGTATGGAAATAAACATAAAAATGTATTCAGTTTTTTATTATAGATATTTGTGTATAAAAACTTCAAATATGTATATTAATTATAAGAATATGTTCCTGAGCTGTAATGCAGTAGCTGTGTTATGAAGTTCTGAATTATGAAGTTCTGATTGCATTTTAGATTATAAACATTACATGATTACTAAAATAATTTAAATATATTAGTTGAAAATCTGACACATTTTCAAGATACTTCTTAAAGTGCTGACATATTAAATTTCAGAAAAGAATTAAGACCATAAGCCTTAAAGGGTTACTCCACCCCAAAATGAAAATTGTGTCATTAATCACTTACCCCCATGTCGTTCCAAACCTGTATAGCGCGGCTGACACAGAATAGCGTACGCAGCTTGCGTTCAGTGGATATTCTCCAAAATGGCGGTACGGTTATGCGGAGAGACACAGAGGAGACGAATGGTTGAATCAAGTCGTTATTTGTTTTCTTCGCATACAAAAAATATTCTCGTCGCTTCATAACGTTACAGTTGAACCACTGATGGCAGATGGACTATTCTTTTTTTATTTTATGATGCTTTATTGTCAACAAGTAGCATGTACAGTGCCATATCTCACTATATAACAAAAACATTTCACATGCCTCAACAAGAAGGAACAAGGAAAAAGAAAAGAAGAGAGGGTACATAAGCATCAGTTTACAGACAAATATATATTATACATATATTTACATTTCCGTAGGATATTACAATGCAGTTTTAATACAGAAAATATACTTTGCAGGTCAGCACCATTATTTATTATTATTTTTTTATATTTTATATTGTGAAAATGTTAAAGGAGCATATATTAATCGTTTTAATTGCTTTACTATTTTTAGATTTTGACATCACATCTACATACATTTGAATCTCTTTTTCAAGCACCATAAAAAGAGGTTTGCCTTTTGTAAACTTGCATTTATGAATGTGAAATTTACATAAAAATAAAATAAAATTTATAATAAAACCAACATCCTTTAAAGAGCGATCCTTGATATAGTAACCCAAAATCACATATTTATAAGATGAGGAAAATGTTTTTTAAATATTAGCAGCAATGAAAACCTCCACATTATTCCAAAAATGCTGGGTATATTGGCAGGACCAAAACAAATGAGAAATTGTTTCAGTGGAGCATTCACAAAAAGAGCATTTTAAATCAATATCAATTTTAAATTTTTGTAGGAATTCTTTTGTTGGATAAACTCTATGAATTAATTTATATGAGATTTCCTTAACCTTATTTGTAAGGAGGAATTTGAGGTAATGACCAAACTTGAGTCCAATTTACATGATTAAAGATATTGTTCCAGTAGAAAATAACATAAGGCGTAGAAATATTCTCTTTTAAAAACAAGGATCTAATTTTATAGTTGTTAGGCTTTAACCCCGAGAAACAGATAGAGCCGACTAAGGTATGTTCAGGTCTAGGAGGACAGACAGAAAGTGCGGATGTACATACACTGCTTTTGAAGATGATCGGGTGCGGGTCGGTTATCTAAATCAGACAAAAATACAGGTGCGGGCGGTTGACGGGTGGATAATTTATTTGAAGCTGCGGATTCGGGTGACGTTTTAGCTCATCCGCGCATCACTAATATACACTGCTTTTGAACAGCATATGTACACCCGCAGGAATGGCCCTAGTTAGCACCTTAAATTCTTTTAATGTAATATGGCAGATGGACTATTCTGACAATGTTTTTCATACTTTTCTGGACCTTGACAGTGTTATTTACTTGGCAGTCAATGGGACAGTCCCAAGCCTCCCGGTTTTCATCCAAAATATCTTAAATTGTGTTCCGAAGACGAACAAAGCTTTTACGGGTTTGGAACGACATGGGGGTAAGTGATTAATGACACAATTTTCATCTTGGAGTGGAGTAACCCTTTAAATGAAAAGCTGATTGTAACTATGGTAACTGATTTGAAAACTAACCACTGACCAACGGTTTTTAGGTGAACTGATGAATAAACTATTAACTATTAAATCAAACAACTTTTTCCTCCACTTTACTATTTGCACTGTCTGTTGGAAATGTTTTAAACTTGAAGTAGAACAGCAGTAGAAAAGGTAGGAATCATATTGCAGCTGGTGTGCTATTCCTTTAGTTACTGTGCATGTGCTAGTGAATGACTATTAATATCATGACTAATAATAGGCGGTTGCTTGCACTTCTTGTCAGGGATTTGATCCAACTCATAAGTATTAAACTTAAATGTGTAACTTGTCCTGTGCTGTAGTTGGTGAATGTAAAACCATGTGATTTGTTGAGGAGGGATATAATATTACTTCACTAAAGAATATATAAATATAGTTTTGTAGTGGAAACCCCAAAACATCTAGCCATGCATGAAGTAATGTTTGTGACCTTGTTTTTAATGGTGTGAAAATTCATTGATCTGCTTAGAATAGAAAGTCTTCATTTCATTCTTTTTAACATGCAAATACCCTTTTTTTATCAAAAAGCATTTGAAGATGTTTTAATTATGTATTTTGAGCACAGAATCTAATCTTCTTCGACAGTTTTAACTTCATAAGCTGTACTCGACAGCTGTTTTAATTCACACTTTCAAGATTGTCACATAAGATTGTTTCAGAAGTGTTGTCATTACAGTCAGTCATTATTTCAAAATGTGCTCTAGGTGTCTGTGATTATGTCTACCTTATTATAGTTCTTTGCAGTGATGTGCGGTTTTCTCTTCTACTCGCATTAGGTTCAATGAACAGACCTTCTGCTCAGAGCTTCGGGAAAAAGCCCATGGCTGCCCCCAACACTCCTGGAGGCAGCTCTAAAGTCGTTCCCATTGCCAGCCTCAATCCATACCAGTCAAAGTCAGTCTAAATCTCACCCCCCTGAATATTTTTCTTTCCAATCCAATTGACTGTAGCATGTCACATAACATCCTGTGTTGTCATAAGTGTGCTGTTTTCTTCAGATGGACTGTTAGAGCCAGAGTCACCAACAAGAGTGCCATCCGCACATGGAGTAACTCCAGAGGGGATGGGAAGCTCTTCTCCATGGAGCTTGTGGATGAAAGCGTAAGCATTCATCAGCAGTGATCAGATTAGAAACTAGAAAGAGTATTAACTTATTGCTTTTTGTTTATTATAGGGGGAGATCAGAGCAACTGGATTTAATAACGAGGTGGACAAATTCTACTCACTCATCGAGCAGGGAAAGGTAAGGCCTACTACATGTTCTCGTTTAATATGGTGTGTAAGGAGGGCTACACAAATTATTAGAAAAATATGTGTTGATAACATGACCTGATTCATCCCACTTGTTGTCCTCAGGTCTACTACATCTCAAAAGGCACCCTGAAAATTGCCAACAAACAATTCTCTTCGCTTAAGAATGACTATGAGATGACTTTAAACGGTGAGACAACCATCAGCCCTTGCGAGGACAGCCATGATGTACCCGTGGTGCAGTGCGACTTTGTTTCCATTGCTGACCTGGAGTGCCGGGAGAAAGACACCATCGTAGGTGAGCGTCTTCCCCGGCCTGTGCGATCGGCATCATCAGTAACCAGCATTTTAATAATTAACTGCGAAGGAGACAGTGGCGCGGCTCTGCGTAACAAATGTGTTGAGACCCAGGAGGTTGTGGTAATTATAACGTTGATGATGAACGCAATATTAATAATGCTTATGACAGTAATGGCCTGTGGCACAGATTGACTTTGTGTCCCTGTCGGGTTCTAGCAGAACCAGAGGAGAAAGATGCTGTCACTGGTAGAATGAAGAGTCAATAAGCATGCCTCTAATTATGGTAATGGCAGTCAGAGCACGCCGAGGTGCAGCAGGCGTATTTCTTATCCGAGATTTGAGTCAGGTGCTGGCAGTGATTTGTGAAATGCTCCTAATGGCAGCTAAATGATTCATAACGGTGTCTGATATGAGAGGATTAAGATGGCGCGCTGTAATGGAGCGTTGACGGGTGTTGTGGAATTTCATTCTGGATGAGTGGTATAGTCATCCCAAACCTATTTACTGTTGGTAAATTGGGGGAGTAGCAGTGTTGTAAACCCGCGTGACGTGTGTGTTTGCAGATGTGATTGGAGTGTGTAAAAACACAGAGGATGTGATGCGCATCATGACCAAGAACAGTCGTGAGGTTTCGAAGAGGAACATCCAACTGATGGACATGTCCGGCAGAATCATCCAGCTCACCATGTGGGGTAGTGATGTACGTAACTGCATCAATCTTTATTCATTTTACATTATCAAGTGCCTTGTACAAAATAAATTGATTTTGTGGAATTAGTCCATATTGTGATAATTATAATACTACTTAAGAGTGTTGTTATTTTTTGTGGATCACGAAGTTGCATAAAGACTCAGTATTGCAAAACTGATAGTAATGTTTCACATTAGAAATCATCCAATGCTGTTTCTGTTTGAAATATTAAGCAGAACAACTGTACTTTTTTCTCATCATTTGATGAATAGCAAGTTCAAAAGAACAGTGCTTATTTGAAATGGAAATCTTTTGTAACTTAAATGTCTTTGCTGTTACTTTTAATCAATTTAATGCATGCTTGCTGAATAAAAGTATTAGTTTATTAATACTTCTCGAAAAAGGAAATATAAAAATAAATTATGGACTCCAAACATTTGTGTATCACAGCTGATTGGAATCCTCATGCAAACAGTGACATCCAGCCCTAAACATTCTGATCTTGTACCAGATGATGTTTTTGTCAAGCACTGGGAGACACTTCCCTCTCCCATTACAGCTGCCAGATGTTTGCTTCTGTTTGGCATGCCAGCCATTCTCATCTAATCTGGATTTGCCATACAAGACCAAATGCATAAAACCACAATTCGATGGAAAATACTTAGATCCTTTGCACTAGTGCTTGCAAGAAAAATGTCACACTGTTGAAGGAGTATGTGCAGTTGTTCAGTGCTTAACTATTTCTCTTTCCTTCCTTCACTCTCCAGGCAGAGACGTTTGATGGCAGTGGGCAGCCTATCTTGGCCATTAAGGGAGCAAGATTGTCTGACTTTGGTGGGCGTTCTCTCTCCACTCTCTACAGCAGCACGGTCATGATCAACCCTGACATTCCCGAGGCATACAAACTGCGGGGATGGTGAGTGATTTTTCTCTCTGTTTCAAAGACAATACGCTGCATCTGTTGTTAAGTGTTTGTCCTAGATGAAACAGATGCATTCTGATGCGCTCCTGTTTTTATTTCTCCACTTGTGAGAATTGGGACGAGCAGAGAGCAGACACTAAAATGCACACTCTAGAACTCCGAGAGGGTGAGCATGCTCATGCCTTTGATATCAAGATTAGCTCTATCAGCGGCGCTCTGGTGGGCTTTGCATTCAGGCTGATATAGGAATGCAAATCATGGCTAATCCCCTGCCAAGATGTTCAATTTCCCCTAGTGGACTCGTGTGACTTGGTTCCTTTGAGAACAGGAATGTTTATTTCTGCTCTGGGGATATGAAACAAGGAAGATGGGGAAACGATGGCACTGAATGCCTTGTTAAGAGATGGTGCTGTTCTAAGTATATGATTGCTGCCTGTGTTTTTGGAGCACAGGCACTGTCTTAATCCTCAGATTTTTATTGGCTACTGAAGGAATTGAAAAACTGTTATGACTCATTTAATGTTTTCCTCTGCCTTCTTGCCAATTTAGGTGTGTGTTGGGTCTGCCAAATTTATAATTATGAAGCTTAAAATATCTCGGATAGACCTGTCACAGTTATTACATAATCACCAGATTGCGATTATTTGAGTAAACAACAGTCATTGTACGCTTTCAGTAAAAAAAAAATGAAGTGTTTAATAATGCATTTTTCCCATTGCAATAGTTTTATATGAATGTGGTAGCTGAACGGGAATCATCTTAGTTAACAAATTTTGCATTAACAACTACATTTTCTACTATTTCATAAGAAAATAATACGAAAAATTAGGTGCACCACTAAAACTATATAGGCTAATCATATATCAAATTTTCATTATGGAGCAGTTCCACTTGCAAATAGAATATATATTCCACTTCTGCCCAGTTTAATAATTGTTT